TCCTTCCTTCCTTCCTTCCTTCCTACTGAGCCCCCCCATCCCTGAGTGAAATGCAAGCACAATTGCTACGTCACGGGCTCTGTGGGGCACCCCTCTGCCTTTCTACGGCCTGTTCTTCATGCCTGTGATGTTGATTACTGCGAAAAGATGGGGTTCGTGCCTCCAACATTTGTAGCCTTTCTTCCCTAGGAAGGAACACACCCACCCCATTGAAATTTTCAACCCACATTGAATTTCTCTTTCGGTTGTCTACCTTTACCCCTATGTTTGAACATCTAGAAATATGCCCAAAGGGCCTTCGCCCGGGATGACTTGAGTGGTGGGATTAACGTGGTGAAACTGTACCTTTTCTCGCTGCCTGGAGCGTTCCAAGGTTCCCCTTTTATCTTGAGCCTCTCCTGCTGTTTCCAGGTTTTAACAAGAGGGGGTTTTGCCTCCCCCTCCCCCTCCCCCTTCTCTCTCCTTCCTCCAGCTGCAGGTCAGCACTTGCCGCTTATTGGTTTCTCCCTTTCTTCCCTCGTGTAACCGAATAATTTTAAGGGAAGAGTCTGAGCTCTCTGCAAACCTGACACATGCCTTGCAGCTTTGAGAAATGTGCTCTCCAGGGCTGTGAAACAGGTCGAAACAATAGAAATAGGATCAACCTCTGTGAAGAACAGATCTTTTCCTGGCCCAGTTGAACAGCGAAATAATAACCGAGGTATCCTCGGGGAAGGGAGAAGGAGGGTCTCCACCTTATCAGCAATCCTGCTTGCTCCTTCTGACCAGGGTGGGAGATATGGAGGCTTTATCACTTTTCTCTCCCATTTGGATGAAACAAGATGATGCACTTACTCCACGCTTAGACATGGTCCTCTCTCTTGGTTTTGGGACGTCATTTTTCCGCACGTCCACATCTTGCATTTAGCGTGCTGTTTTGTAATTGGTCCTTAGAAGGCAAAGGTGGGCTTAATTTTCATTTTGCGCAGGCAAAGATGGCTTTGAAGAAATCATGTTGTCAGAAGGAAAGTAGGTTCATTGCAAGCCATGCGCATCCCTTGTAACATCTGGTTTGACCCTGGAAGAGCCTCTGATTTTTTCATCTTTGACGGTTCAACGATGCATTGCGACAAGCCGAGTTGCTTTGGAGTTTGGCCCTGATCTTTGACTTCGGGCTGGGGGCTCAGATCTTCATCTTAATTGTGCTGGGAGGCTGGAAGGAAAACCTTTGGCGACAGGTTTCGGCTTCAGACGTTTCCCTTTAGAGGCAAAGACGATGTCTTACGGAGTGTGTGAGAGCAATCAGCTCCATATTGGTAGACGAGGGGATCATTTGGGGCTAAATAGGGTTGTAAGCATTCTATCAAGTGTGGGGTTGGCAAATCCAGTGCATTTTAATTTCAGAGTGAAGGGGGTGACCTGGTTTGTCCGTGTGACCATTTCCCCGCCCCCCCGCTTTGCTCCAAGACAGAAAGCCATGGTGTGTCTAAGTGTTTTGATATCAGAAAGTACGATCATGACGATGGTGGTGATGATTTTACTACAGAACTGTAGGGGACCCTAGAGGTCATCAAGTCCATCCTCTACAAAGGAGCACAATGGAGAGAGGGGGGGAATCAAACTCCCAACCTCTGGCTCCACAGACAGAGATCCAAACGACTGGACGGTCTCAGACCATGGAGGGCTTTATAGGGGATCACCAGGACCTTGAATGGGTAGCAAAACTTTTATTTCTTGCCACGTGTGTCATGCTCGTTCTTCACTGTTCCCAGGTCCCACAAAGGATAGAAGAGCAAAGCGTGGCCCCCGAGGAAGACAATGCAGGGATCCCGGGCGTCTGGGGCAGCTGGGGGCCCTGGTCGGCTTGCTCGCGGAGCTGCGACGGCGGAGTGATGGAGCAAACCCGGCCCTGCTTGCCAGGACACTATTACGAGCGGAGCTACCGGAGGCCTGGGCCGTACTGGGGCTCCGAAAGGACTCTGACTCATCAGCCGCAGCTGCGCCAGGAGGACCCGCTGAACGCCTACGCCGGACACGTCATCTCGGCCATCCGTACCTCCGTCCCTCTTCATAGAAAGGAGGATCCTTCGCGAGCGGCTCTCCGGGCGGCCTTCTCTCTGGGAGGCCGTAACGACAGCTACCCGAGCAACAAGGGGACCTCCAGAGGAGGGCGGCTTTCTCCGTCTCTAAGGCGTAGCCCCAAATCAGAAAGAAGGTAATTAACGAAAACAAAACAAAAAAAACCACACACCTATGTATAGTCTTCTCTTTGCTGTCGTCCCTACTCCTCTTATTGCAACCAGGCTCGGACTGCTGCTCTCAGAATCTCATTCCGAGAGATGAGATCCTGAGAATCTCATCTCTCGGAATGGCTGGGGCATTCCGAGAGAGGTAGTCTCAAAAAGCAACTTTTCCAAGTTTGGCTCCCTACTGCCTCTCCAGGGCCTGTAAACCAAGCCACAGCACAGGCGTGCTGTCCCATCTGTAAACTCAGTCGACTCTCTGGTGTAAGGGCATGATGGCTCCAGCGTTGGCTCCATTTCCCCGATAGTTTGCTTACGCCATCCTTGTTGTGTGTTTTTGAAGTTGGCTTCAAAGCCAGCCAGTGACCCTCAAAAATCATCCTCTGCCTGTTTAAACCCTGTGCTTCAAGGACACCCCCCCTGGGCTGCAGGACCGTCCCATCCGCTGTTCCCAAATGCCCCGATCCCTGGCCACCAAGTTCCATTACCCCCTGGGCTCATGATGGGCTTTCTGGAAACCCATCCCTGGCAAGATACTTCCTAAGCGCCTGCTCCAGTTTTGTTTTGGTTTTTTTGCTTGCTTCTTTTGCCTCTTACATCTGGTTCACATCTTGGAAAAGTTACTTTTTCCCCCAGATTCCATGGGCCATGCTGACTGGGATGACCAGGCTGGCTGGGCACAGTGGGACAGATAGTCCAAAAGGACGTTTCTGAGCCTTGATTTGAACCATTGGGAGGCTGGCAAGGTTATAAATGTTGCATTTACACAAGCAACATGAATTATTCTCTATGCTGAGAATTCTTAGCTTGAGAAGTTTATTGCACTGTTTTGTGGCTGATGTAGAATACATTGCTGAAATCCCAGGGACTGTACAGAAAGGAACTTGTGAAAATAGGCTTTCAAAGCATCGTTTTGTATTAGTTTATATACGTATTTTTAAATAAGTGGGTTTAAATGTTGCACTACATCCTTTGCATGTCTACATGGCACTCCTTTAGGGAATGAAATTCAGCTGTTTGGTTGGCAGCTACAAAGAAAGTGAGGAAGGAGGGAAAGAGATAAAAATTTAAAATGAAGCAGCTTAGGGTGATAAACCTAATATGTTTTCTTAATTTTGCAAAGGCTTTGGAGTTCAAATGTGCCTTTCAAGGGAAGGGGCTTTGACTCTAGAACGTCAAAATGTAGCCAGTTGAGTTGACCGTAGGGAATAACCAAACATCTGAGGCCGTGCCAGGAAGTACATGGTTTAATAATGGTTCATATTGATAGAAAGCTTTGGGAATAGAGTTCCCTTCCCGCCCTGACCCCAAGGCTAATGGCAGACATCTATTAAACTATAAAACGGGGATTAGAATTTGTGAATGAGGTGGACCCATGGTGGAAGTCATAGTTCAAGATGAAACAGATGGGACTGGGTCCAAGACAAAGGGCGATGGAAAAAGCTTTCCAAGACACAACATATAACACTGGGACCTCTTGGAGACCAAGGGGAAGCGCCTTTGGGGGGTTGCTAAAGCTAGACTAGGTAAATAGAGTAAGAATGGCAATTTAATAATGAGGATTTTGAGACACAGACCAGTTGTTCTGTATGCACAGATTCTGACTCTGGAAGGATTTAACATCCCAGGATTAGGTCTGAAAGCTCTGTCCTTTCTTGTCTGTAGACTGAGGGCTCCAAAATGATGACCGTTTTGTAATGCCTTAACCCTCCCAACCATGACGGGTAGTCAAGTAGTAACGTGACCTCCTCAGTGGTGGCTCCATGGACATTTTTATATACAATGTTTGTTCTGTATGCCTAGCTGCCAAGATGTAGAACTTTGTGGAATACGTGCTATTAGCTAAGCTCAGGTTGTTGTTGTTGTTGTTGTTGTTGTTGTTGTTGTTACAAGGAACTTGCCTTGTGCTTTCAGGGTCCCCCTAGATTGATTTTATCTTATCCATGAGAGATGAATGAGAAGTTCTCTTGGCATTCTCTTTGGGTTTGTCTTGTGTATATTGGCAAATTTTTGCCATCTGTAGTATCAGAATTGGCCACAAGAGGGAACTGTTGAGTGCCTCCCTGTATTTTTTTGGACTACTAGCCAAGGCAACACCGAAGGTTAATAACTTCAGGCAAAACAAATGGCTTGCATAATTAGAGCGCTAATTGTGATAAGGGAAACATACAGTAGCTGCTAAGTAATGAGCCATGAGTAACACAACCCATTTCTTTATCTAAAAAATAGTGCTTCGAACTCTACCGCCTGCTGATTTCACCCTCTCCTCTCTGGACTTGAGAGCTGTAACCTAGCAGAAATGCATACAGCTGTTAAGAGTGAATGAACAGTGTTGTGAACTTGTCACCCACTTTTTCATCATACAACGAAGTGGATTATAGTCCGCAAACTTGTATTCCAGATAAAAACACGGTAGGTTTTCATGGTACTACAAGACTCTTATTGTTTATTTTTTAATACATCTGACTGGCATGGATTCGGTCTCATCAACGACATCTTAAAAACCTTCGACCTCACCCATTTTACCCTAGTGTCTCCATCCATTCATCAACAGGGAATGGTGGCAGAGGTATTGCAATTCTATAATTCTTGACATAAACCCAAAATATCCATAGGAAACGACAAAAAAAAATTCAGAAAAGCAGAATGACATCTAAATACCAGTATAGTTATTGCACTTGAAGGCTGTCTGGATAGCTCAGTGGTTTAAGTTTCTGGCTGTGGAGCCAGAGGTGGGGAGTTCGATCCCCCCATTGTGTGCCCCCAGGGAGAAGAGCCAGCCTGGGTGGCCTTGGGCCAGCTGCACCGTCCCAGGGATCCCCCCCCCCAGAAGAAAGGAAGATGGTAAACCACTTCTGAGTACTTTCTGCCTAGAAAACCCCAAACAAAGTTGCCATGAGTCAGAACTGACGTGATGGCTGAAGGATGATGAGAGGTCACTGCGTGCCTATGGAAGTTACTTTAGACCTGGAGAGGTAGGCAGTGAAGTTCTTCTCGGGTTGGAATTAAAACCCACAACAGAGAAGAGGACCTTTCAGAGTTATTGAGCTACTTTACGGGATGACCTTGCTGAGATTCATATCTCTTGGTGTGGGAATCAGTGCTGTGTCATAAAAGCAAAATATGGGTTGTTGTTTTTTTTTTAAGAGCAAAGGCCATTTGTGCAATGATGGGCTTTGCTGATTTCGTAACTTGTCCTTTGGCTGCAGGGACGGGGAGCGCTCTGCCCCTGTTTTCCGCTGAAGGCGGCCGGTACAGCCGTAGGTCTGAATCAGCTCCTTTATACACTTTGCTTTGCTGATGGAAGGGGGGGGGAAGGTAATTGTCAGTTAGATTTATGTGAGGCTAATGAGGTGGGCTAAACAAACAGTGTGAGTTGAAAAGAACTATGTCTCCCTCCATGTTAATGAAAAGCACTGACCTTGCTTGCAATTGCATCAAAATATTAATAGGGGAGAGGGTGGGAGGGCTTCTCAGACGTTTTTATATGCGTAAAGGGGTGGTGGTACTGGAGGGAATGGGAGGAAGAAGGATTTAAACAAAGATGGAATCTGAGAATGATCAAGATTTTAAATGGCCGCAACTCAACTTCGCCTTTTCCTGGCGGATAAAAAGCCATAAAAAGCTGAATGCTGTTGCCTGGTCTGAAACACACAGAACCTGATTGTCATGTGTCACAGCGATATATACCAGTGGCTTCCTTTATGAAGGCTATCCTTCTTGTGTCTGGTCATCCTTTTTTCCTGGTGCCTTCAGTTTTTCTGAGCGTTCTTGTCTCCTCCGGAGAGCCTTGACTTCTTGTGAAGTGCCCAATGGAAGGGTGGCTTTAGTTGCATTGTTTTTACCTCTAGGGAGAACTCCAGCTTAATTTGACCTGGGACCCACGTGCTTGTCTTTAGGGTATTTGGAAAATAGGGAATTCCTATAGTTGTGACTAAAAATAGGATACAAACCCTTGTCTTTCGACTGAACAAAATTATCTCTCAGATGTATCCACCTTATTATTGGGCTTCTCAAAAATCCACCAGCATGCATTTCCCATTCTTATTCTCTATCATGTTGCGACTTAGAGATGGGCACAAAGCACTAATATGACGGTTCGTGCCAGTTCGTTCCTTTGGGTGAACGGAGGTTCGGCACTTCTCAGCCCTGCCTCCTCCAGCAGGCGCCCACTCAGAGGCAGGGCCCCGGCATCCCTGCCCCGCCTCCTCTGGGCGGTTCATGACCATCTCTAGTTGTGACACATTTTCCCCCTTCCTTTCTTGACACCGATATGCATTCTGAAAATGCATTTCCCCTCATGGATACATTTCTTTACTCCTTTCACCTAATGCCCGTGTTTCTGTCTATTCCCTACAGTGTGTAAGGGTGCATTTCTCAGTTATATGCTTTTGAGAATTGTATTGTTTCTCTGGGTTATTGATTAATTTCTGGACTAAATTTGAAGTGTTGCTGTTTACTTTTTGAGTCCTCAATCAGGGGAATGTGTCATCTCTCTCCCGCGAAGAAATTAGCCATATAAGCTGTGGCTGATGGGAGTTGGAGTACAGTTCTCCATGCATGGCCTGAGAGTTTGATTCTGTCACTGCACGATGGCTATATATGTAAACACACAATAATAATAATA